GGCGGAGCAGCCGCGCACGCGCGCTCCGAGTCCCAGTGGGAAGACCCTCCTTGCAAACCGTGGAGCGCGGCGCATAGACGGCAGCGCAAGTAACCCCGAGGACTGGTCGCTGGATCCCCGAGGCTAGGAGGAGGGGGAGGGGCAGCGAAGGGGCTGTAGACGGGCCAGGGCTGCGGGCAGGCGCCAGGCGCGGGGAGATGAAAGGCGGGCTCCGGGGGAAGGGGCTGCGCCGGGTGACCGGCTCCAGCCGCGCCGGGCGCCCCGCCCCCGCTGCCCCGGGCAGAGGCGGCTGCCCGCGCCGGAGCCGCGTTAATTGCTCTCGGCCCCGGCACTCAGCCTGCTCGGAGCCGGGACAACCTCACTCCAGGAGGAATGACAATTCGCCCTAATGGGACAACCTCGCTCCCAGAGGAGTGACAATTCCTTCTAATGGGCCGCTTGTTAGCGGCCTATTCTCCCGAACCCGGGTATCAGAAGCGGGCAGACAAGCGGGCGCCAACGTCCGCCAGGAATTCCACAACACTGCTCTCCACCCCCCCAGACATTCGCTGTGTGACCTCAGGCAAAAGGCTACTCCTCTCTGAGCTCATTTTTCTTACCTGTGCGGGGTGAAGAAGGAATGGGGAAGACCAACCCTCAGTGGGATGGGCATATTCTCTGAAATCCCTACAGAGGGACACAGCAGGGAAATACTTAGGTCATTCAGGGTCACAGCTGCGGTTTTGAAGGGACAATCCCAATGCTTGTGAGATTCTGGACGCTCAGGGCTAGCCATGACCCTTCACAGGTTCATGAAGACCTCCCGAACACTAGCTCCCCATTTCACAGGGGATTGAGGTTGAGGGGAAGACCCGAGAGGCTGGCCTGAGGTCATTGCAGGTGGAGCCTGAAGCCAGGGCTGCCCCTCTTCAAGAAGCCCCCCTCCTCCGGTTGCACTGGGGGAGGGCCAGGGGAGGCCTGGGGGAGGGCCACAGCAGCTGCACTCACTGCAGGCCCTGGGCCTGCACAGGGAATGGCCAGTCTGGGTTACCAAAGGGGGGTCACCAGGAAGGTTCTGCGCCTTCTGCAGATCTGTAATCCCAGACCCCCAGGTCTGTAATCCCAGCTACTGGGAGGCTGAGGCAGGAGGATGGAGAGTTCAAGGCCAGTATGAGCAATTTAGCGAGACTCTGCCTCAAAATAAGGAACAGAAAGGGCAAGGTGTGTAGCTCAGTGGCACATCCACCACCTCCCTGCAAACACAAACAAACCCAAGCCCCATGCCCCCACCGTGCTTGCTGCCATGCCCTCAGCTTTCCCTTTCAGCAAATGCACACACTAATGCTCAGCCCCCAGGGTGAGGACCAGTGAGAAGCCATACAAGAAACATACAAATGTACTGCTTTGCCTCCAGCCTTAAAGAGTCACACTGGCTTTAAACAGGGCTCAGCTGTTCATTTCCTGTGGTCTCTGGATAAATCACTCCATCTCTCTGCACCACAGTTTTCTTATCTGTGATATGGGCATGCTAAGCATTTGGTAGATGTTGGATATTATTTTATAAGTCATTATCTTTTTTTTATAACCTCTCTTTCAATAAGTCTTTCCCGAAGTGTGCATTTAGGTCCCTCTGATGGGATGTTCGGTGGGTTGAGGCCTGAAACTGCGACTTCCTTAGGCCTCTAAAATGGGAACAGCTACTGATCTCTTGAGAAGGAAACTCCCTCAGCTCTTTATTGAAGGGCAGGCATTAAGGGAAGAAGAAAAAGTTCAGATACACAGGAGGCAGAACTCACCATCTCCCAGAACCTGGGCACACCTTCTTCCCAGCCCCTGCCTGCACTGCAGGGTACTGCTCACAAGCAGGAATCCAGCTCTGATTTGTCTTCAGAGAAAGATCCTGGAAGAGGTGGCTCCAGATAACTGGGTGGCTGCAGCCTGGGGAACCAGTGAGGTCATGCAGGCTGGCACCTAGGAGAGCTGTTATGCACAAATCTCTGTTCCATCCCCCACATTGGTCCAGGCTGAGAAGAGGGCTTTTGCAGGATCTATTTGTTTTAGCGCTGGAATTGAATCCAGGGTCTTGTGCATGCTAAGTGTGTGCTCTACCACTGAGCTACACCCTCAGCCACAAATGAGATTTGCATCAAGGTCTAGTAACTGTCAGTTCCCTTCTTTTTCCTAAAGTAGCCCTGGGCTGCAGGGGCTGTTATTCCTCTTTGCAAAGGAGAATATTTTAGCTTAAAGCTTGATTAGATTTCTCACAATTAGTAAATTCCTGACGAAGATGTGAATCAGGGTTGGACTGATTCTAAATGCGTGTATTCCGCCCCGGGCAGAAGTGGCTGAAGAGGTGGGAGGAGCCACAGCTGGACTAGCTGGTGGGCAAGAAGCATCTACTATTTCCAGTCTATTAAGAAGCATCTACTATTTCCAGGTCTGAGATTGGCTCACTAATTAAATAGGGTGCACAGGAGAAAGGGGTTTACCGATATTTACGGATGGCCAAAGATTTGGGCAGGACTCTCAAATCTATTTTGTTTGGTGGCCTCTGCATTTTTTTTAGCTTCAAGATGCAGCCAACTGGGCATGAGGGAGGAAGAAAAAGGAAGTCTAGGGAACTACTTAATGGACATAATTATATTTTCTAATTAAGGAAAATACAATCTCTTCCAATTGCTCCAGCTCCACCCCTTGCCAGGTGGGAGACAGCAGAGGTTGTTCTACCTGGAGAATAAAGACAATTAGAAGCAATTATTCCAAATTTTGTTAGTTACTTCTGGAGGAGGTGTTGGGGCTTGGAGCTGGGTCCCCTGCTTGAGCCACACAGGTAGGAAGCCCCCAGCCTTGCTAACAGAGCTGCACCTTGGGTAGGTGGGTAGCTCCACAGAGTTCAACCCCCAGTACCAACAACAGGAAGGAAGGAGGACATGCACCTTAAACTTGGTGCTGTGTGAGCTCTGAGCTTTAAGCTTTATGAGGGGCAAAGCACTTTCACCACAGGACCTTGCTGCCTCCTGGAGATCAATCTGGGGCTCTGGAGGGTCCTCTCACCCCTCCTCCCTCCCTGCCTTAGCCTCTTCTTTCTGTCACTCTGCTTCCCCACAGAGGTGACTGAAGATCAGACAGACTTCCCTGACTTCACCAAGGAAGGTGGACGGGTTGGGACCCAGCTGCCCAGAGCCTTCCATCCTCAGGGACCCCCCTCCAGCTTGGACCCTGACTGGGGGAGGGGCTGGGTTTGTCCTGTATGTACAGCACTGTGTCCAGCACCAGGCAAAGCCCCTGGCCCAGCGAGATGCTCTATAAATAAATTCAGATCGTGTCTGAGCATGCAGGGGCCACTCACCAGAAGGTGCTTCCCCCTATGACTTTGGAAGGAACCTGGAGTTGGAAGGGCTGGTCTGTTTTCACAGTTGCAACAGATGCTGGACCCTGGGGTGGGAGACAGAATTTAAAGTGCTGGGGAGAACAGTATTGGTTCCACCCCAGACCCAGAAAGTCACAAGACTTAACAATTAATCGTCCCATTCCCCAATAAAGATTTACTCATTTCACTCTCTGCCCAAGGTCATGTACCAACTAAGGGATACAGTGTGCCTTTGACTGCAGGCAAGTCTAACTCCAAACCCAAGCTGGCTTCTCAGCTCCAGAGGCCTGCGGAAGTCAGAGAAAACAGCACCTCATCACCACCTCTGCCCCTCGCTTCAGCAATACTGGGATTTTGCTGCATTTCCAGATTTTTTAAAAGAGAGTGTGTCTCTACAATAAAAAAAAAGACCCAAAAGTATTTAGGAAAAATATAAGCCCATAGCATCACTCTGTGCTCCCCTTAACCGGGCAGCGGGTGCTTCCAGAGCACGTCCGTCCCTCGTGGAGGCCATTCTCACCTCGTCGTGACATGGACTGGCTCCTGCCGTCCTCACAACCGCCCTGTTTGGTAGATGTTGTTATTATCTTCATTTTACTGAAAGGCCTGATTCTCAGACGTGGAAACTCCAGATACATATAATTTCTCTTTTTAATTGTGTGTTTGTCGAGAGGTCCTTCCGTTTCCGTCCTCTCCCAACCCTCCTGCCCCCCCCCATCCCCCAGCCCGGAGGAACTAGTCACTGCCATTCAACAGGAAAGAGATCAGAGCTGAGGGCAAGATTTTGTCCCAAGAACAGCAGTGGCTTAGAGCTCTAGGAGATCCTCGAACTTGAAACACAGTCTGGCCTTCCTGCCACCGTGCTATTCGTGAATGGAACACCCTGGGGACACGGTCACTTAATATAAGTGGCAGTGTTTCTCTGCCACCCGGCTGCAGTGCCTGGCTTTTTGCAAATGGATTTGCAAATCTTTGTGAGGAGGGGGCGGGAGGGGAAGAAGGAAGGGAAGGAATTAGACCGCAGGCAAGAAGGAGGGTTCAGATCCCCCTGTCACTCACTTGCTGGGTGACTTTGGACAAGTCCTTCTCTTCTTCTCTGGATCCCTCATTCCCCACCACTGTCAAAATTAGGAGATTTCTTTGCCTTTCGTGCCTCTGTGGTTCTGGGGCTGTATGATCCAGGAATGAAGAAAGGCAGGGAAAGTCCAGCCTGACCCCTGTTCTATGTACCACCAGGCCGCCAGAGGTTTCCAGGCAGGAGGAGGGGCTGGGTGGGACAATCACAGGCGTCGGGAGGGTCTCCAATTTTCTCCTGTAGCAGCTGTGTGTCCTGGGGCAAGTCTGCCCACTTCTCTGAGCCAAGCCTCCTTCTCTTCATTAGAAAATGAGGGCTGATAATCCCTATTTCTGCAGGAGGGGCCGAGGGGTTAAATGGGATCACTGATATAAAGGGCAAGGGATACCATCCATCCCCTCCAGTTCCATGTTTCTGGTGTCCCCTGTGAGGAAGGAGTTTCTGAGACTGCGATGAACTGGGAGGAGGGACACGGTCGCTCCTTGTTAGTGACACAATCAGAGCTAACACTGTTGGTGAGGGTGGTTGTGAGAGGCTTAGGGAGAGCATCCTGCTAAAAATCCTCCAGGCCCATGGGCAGCTCAAGAAAGCTCTAGAGAAATGATTTTGGAGAGTTTATTGGACCCAGTAGCCCCTAAGCTGGAGCACTCGAGAATGACAGTCTCAGAGTGATTCCTTCTGCAACATGACGTTCAGGAGGCCGTCAGTACAACTTGAGCACCTGGACAGTGATGGCTCCGGTCCCCATGGACGAAGCACCCAGCTTCCTTGCTTGGGAGACATCTGGCAGAACAGCCTTGGTGTCCTTCCAGAGCGTCCTATCTAATAGTCGATAAGCAACACGACACATTTCACTTAACAAGTCATTTTTATGATCACTCCTGGTTTTCAAATGAGAATTTATTTAAAGTTACCTATTAATTAAGTAATAGCCCCTTTGGTCCTGGGATAAGGCCAGCAATCGTGATTGTTCTCAGACAAGGCAACAATCGTGTAGGTGGATGCCTGGAATCCAGGTTAGTACTGATTTACAGGGGAGAGCCCTGCTTGTCCAACAGCACAGAAACTCCTTGGAATCCTGCCCCACCTCCAGGCTGGATGGCCTTGGGCAAGTTAGTTCCCCTCTCTGAACTTTGGATTCCTTATCTGCAAAACCAGGGTCTGGTGATCATTCCAATCTCCTAGGTTTGCAGAAAGAATTCACTAGAGATAATAGAGGGCCACAGAATTATTATTATTATGGCTGTTGTTATTATTGCAGAGATCATAGCTGACACACATTTTGTTGGATGTATGGAGTTGTGTTATTAGTAAATAGTGGCTAGGGGAATTTGGTCAAAACAAGTTTATTTACCCTGAACCTACTTATCTACTAGCTTAGCAGTAATTGCAAAAGAGGGGAAGAATTCTTTGAAAGCGGAGTTCTGTTTAAAAGTCACTTACCCTTTGTTTAACTGGCTCATCTTTGGTATCTGGATAAGTGGACTGCCCACTTCCCCAGGAGGCACCTTGACAGTATTCGCAGAACACCTATACTCTGGAAGCAAAGTTAGCACATACGTAAGGCAGAAGATGTTTCATTTGCCCTCCCCACAGCCAACACAGTGCTCTGCCTGATGGGCTCCCTCTTCCCTTTCCTTCAGGGGTCTTTCCTGTTTTCCTACCTCCTCCCTCCTTTCTGCTGACCCACGCAGGTTCCTACCCTGGCAGGGCATGTGCTTCGTGTGCTGAGGTCCTGGGTTCAGTCCTCAGCACCACCGCTCAGCAAACAGAAAACCAGGGATCTAAGAATCCCGCCCTCCAGTGAGGACTTAGATGTATGAAGTACCGCATGGCCCACCCAGATGTACAAAGGGCAGCTCCAAAGCCAGGCTCCTTTTGCAGAATTCTCTCCCGCGCTGTCACAGTGTGGGCCCCAAGAGAACGCATTCAACATTTCAATAAGTTGCCAACAGTTAAAAATCAGGAGACTTTCCATAGAAACCCGGAATTCTGGCTTCTCTGCATCCCTCGAAGTGAGTGGCCCTTGTGATTTCCAGCGTGGGTGTCCTTCGGGTGTGTCTTGCCCCTGGTGGGGAAGGGGATGCAGAGCCATAGGGGCGGATCAATAGACTGGGCTTTGAGAGGCAGGTGGGGTGTGTGAAGGAGGTGTATTGGGTTAAGTCTCAAGGATTTTACCAGATTGAGAGGAGGAGGAGGGGGTTTCCTGGCAAAGAGGAAAAAAAAAATATATATATATATAAATGACAAGGTTTGTGTGTTTAACAGAATATGGAGGAAACAGTGTGGTGCACACCTGTGATTATCCCAGCTACTTGGGAGGCTGAGGCAGGAGGATGACATGTTCCAGGCCAGACTCAGTAACTTAGTAAGAAACTATCTCAAAGGCTTGGGATGTGGCTTAGGGGCCAAGCACCTTGGAGCTGCAGAGGTTTTGATTTCCCCTTCCCTTGTCTTTTTTCTGTCACCTCATATTGAATTCTTCTTTAAGAATTTCAAAAGTGATAGCTATTCTCCACAACTAGAGTGAACCAACCAAAGATATCTTAAGCAATGCACTGTCCCCCTCAGCTTTCCTGCAGTCTGAGTCCACAGTGCTCAGTGTCCAGGGTAGACTGGTTGACACCTGTGGATGTACAGTTGCAAACCAACAGATGGGAAAGCAGGAGGTGGGAGTGGCGGCTGGGCGGTGTCTGCACACGGGACTCCATGCTCCGTCCATCCATCCGACTGGCACAACCTGGGCATCTCACCATATGAGTAGACCCAACCCTAACCTGCTCTTTCTCTGTTCCACAGTAGGAACATATAACAATTCATTTAACGGGTTCTTTATTAATAGACATTATTTCTTGTCCAAATTTTTAGCTCTATCAAATATTCTTGAAAAAAAATACAAAACAGTCTACATACTGTCATACTTTCACTCTTATTATTTTTTGGGGGTATCGGGGATTGAACTCAAGAGCACTGGACCACTGAGCCACATCCCCAGCCATATTTTGTATTTTATTTAGAGACAGAGTCTCACTGAGTTGCTTAGTGCCGCACTTTTGCTGAGGCTGGTTTGAACTTGCGATCCTCCTGCCTCAGCCTCCAGAGCCATTGGGGACGAACCAGGGCCTCGTGCATGCTAGGACGTGCTGTCCCTCTGAGCTGCTCTGTTTTAATTTTTGGGAGGGGAGTAGCACAGCTCCACATCATACCCCTTTGAGAAACTCCCTGGGTGGGGAGGCGGGATGTTATGGAACGTGCTGGAAGGAGCAGGACCCGTGCAGAGGCTGTTGCAGGGTTTCTGACAGCTGGAGAGGCCTGAAGGGGTGGGGAGGCAGGAAGCCCGAGAAGAGAGTGGGAGCCTGCTGGGCTTGTGGAGTGTGGGTGCGGCAGTGGGAGGCCTGCCTTCAGGCTGTCCTGTGCATCTCCCATGTTCTTCCTCGGCCCAAGCCTCCTGCCCTTGAAGTTCTGCTTGGAGAACCGCTTGCTGAGGCAGCAGGCCCCTGCCAGAGCTGTCTCTCCACCTGCATGGGGCCTGGGCGAGTGGGTGGAGCCTGAGCCAGTGGGCGGGGCCCTTCCATGGCAAGGTGGCCCAGATGCACGCAGCCTTTGCCAGTGAGATCCCTGTGGCTGCTCAGTGCGGCTGGGTGACCAGCAGCCATGTTCCATCTGGTCCTCACTGAATTGCTTTTTAATTCAGCTGTATGTGGCAACAGATGTGTTAGAGGCAACAATAAAATCCAAGCTTGGACTCCTAGAGAGTTCTGGAGGGCAGGCTGCTGAGGTGGGGAGGGGTCCTGCCAGTGCTGCGGGGACCCTGAGAGCTTTGCTCAGCCCCCCAGTGGCCTTGATCTTTTTCTCTGTGGTTCTGCCTCTTTTCTCCCCTGGTTCCACCTCTCTCCCCAACCCCTAGGGCCCCAGAACCCTTTGAATTGAGCCCCTAGAAGTGAACCCCGTAGTGCCTTAAGACTCCTGGAATGCTCTGCAGCCAAGGGATGGGGCCATCTCATCCTAAAGGGTCTCCTGGACTGTGGGAAGCTGAGGACACTCTTCAGGGGCCTCAGGAGAACCAGAGATTGTCATCAGTACAGGACAGCCTGTCCAGCCAGTGTGTTTGCTCAGCCTTTAAATCGTCCAACAGAGTGTGGCAAGTTTTCCTGGATGACGGGTCCATCTGACTTCATAATAGCCCCATTCTCTACAGAGCAAAATAGGAGCTCATCCGGTCACTGAGATCCCTACCCTGTGGTGACCTCACAACTGATTCTTGAGCAGTCACATGGATCTGTGAGCTTATGGGCAGTAACTTGAGGAGTTAGCCATCCTGGACATTAGAATGTAAGAGGTAGAGTGGAAGTTAATTACCAATTTGGCTTTGACATTGGCTCCCCCAATCAACCACCCGGGTCTCTTCTTGGAAGAAGAAGACCACATCTTCTAGTTTCTCAGCTCTGATCTGCCAGGGAAACAGTTCAGGCTTCAGGTCAGACTGAAATGTGGAGCTTTGTGACCTTGGGTAAGTCCCTTAACATCTCTGATCCCCAGTTTTGTCCTCTTTAGAATGGGAAGTAGTAGTTATTGGCCTACAAGAGTTGTTGGGAGTTTTAGTGATGAACCAGAGCAAGCATCTGTCTGTTCTTGGCGTGTAGTAGGCACTTAATAAATGGAAGTGACAGTTTTTGGAAATCATTGACTGAAATGACTAAGAGACCAGCTGACTGAGGAGGAGGAGGAGGAGGAGGAGGGGCGATGGGAATCGGCTCTCTGCTCCCACCCTCCGCCATTGCCGAGCTTGGCTCTTGGTTGCCTAGGCGATGCTGCACAATGCCCCCGAGTGACGTGGAGCGGTGTGCAGCTGCTGGGCTCCTTGCGCCTGTGTGCTGGGCGCAGGACCGAGCCCACTTGGCCACTGGTCGACTTGGGCAATAAGTCAGCTTTGCCCCCCGGCAGAGGTGCTGGGGGCAAAGGGCTTCACTCCCACGGTAAGGGCGCGCAGAGGCACTCTGTTCAGTATTGAAAATAGGCAGGAGATGCACAGGGTCCTAAATAAAAATAATTAACTTAATGACAAAACCAACAAACAGAAACCGTGCGGAGGAGAGGGGAGCTCTGCAGATGTGTTTGTAAACAGTAGAAAAAGAAATAAAGGGAGGAGAGAGAAGCCGCTCAGAGGTTCTGGGCTCCCCTGATTTCCACGGAGCATGTTTCTCATTACGAGGGGGAATGCGGGCCACACAGGGGCAGAGAGAAACTATGCAGACGGGAAAGTAATTGGGGGTGTCAGGGTCATGGGATAAATCTGGGAGTTTGTTTTCAAAATCTTCTTGAATGTTCCATTACTTTTACAATTTGAGAGAGAGAGAGAGAGAGAGAGAGAGAGAGAGAGAGAGAGAGAGAGAGAGAGATTGATTTAAAGCACAAACTCTAAGTTGAAGTGGGCAGGAACCGACCGATTCTGTCCTTGTGACTTGTTGTAGGAGGGGACCTTCCGTTTACTCCAGGGAAAGCCTGGTGCTTTTGATTCGAATCTCCCTGCTTTTCTGAATGCATCTCCCGTCCATCCTCTGTACGTCACATTGAGTAGACTCTGGACACTGATTTCAAAAAGGCCTTCCGCTGGCCCGTCCAGGTTCCTATGCAGGAGGAAGCATACAGAGGCCACGGTCTCACAGCCTGACCCTTGAGGCCGGGTGGGGAAACCGAGGCACAGAGATCGTAGGCTAGCCACTGCAGGCTTCCCCAGCCATCCGCAGGGTGAAGTGGGTTCCAGACTTTGGTCTCCCGAGTTTCAGCTGAGTTCTTTTTTCCAGCCCCACACATGCAGCCAAAAATAACCCCTTTTCTTGGAAAATGCTCCCTTGTAGAGTCTTCCAGGCAGTGTGGGGACCAGGACAGTAATATTTACATTCGTCTCTGACACGGGACTGTGGGACCCTCGAGCAGCCTGTAAAGGGGTCCAGCGCAGGGTCTCCTCTGCTCTCACGGTCTCCTGGTCAGCAGCACATTTTCGAGGCTAAGGAAAACTGCAAGTGTCATGAAGAGTCTGGGGACAGAAGACACATAAAGGGCGGCTTGGAACAGGACAGCTGGCAGCTCCTTGTCAGCGCAGACTCCGTTCTTCCTGCTCCTCTCTCTCCTGGACAGGAATGTCCCCCATCTCAGCAGCCACCGCGGCCCTGCTGGAACCGCTGGCCTGTGTTTCCATCGGGAGGCTTGTTTTTCTGGGGTTTATTACTCAGCTGTAAAAATGTGCTCGGGGCAGAAACTTGGCATATGAAGTCTCATCTCAGAGGTAATTGGTGGGGATTTTTTTTTTAAACCTTTTTTTTTCTCTTTTTACAGACAATGTTGGAAAGGGAAACAAAAAGGTCAGGAATTTACTGTTGGAATCCATGGGTTTGCCCCCTTGGGTTTCTTTCTGGGTTTGGACTGCTCTGTATTATTTTCAGTCTCCAACCAGACATTTGGAGGCGAAGTTATAGAGGTTTTAAGGGCAGATCTTCATGTCTTTCTCCTCCCACCAGGATCCCCGGAGAACCTCCTGTGCACCCAGCGTGGTGCTAGGCCCTGGGGGACCGGGGAGGGCGAATGCATGGGTGCGCCTGGTTCTCCTGGCGTGGACCCACTCACACACTCCCCACAGACCCCATGTTAGCAGATACAGTGAAGTTAGCAGATCCTGCTTGCAGGAGGTGGTGGGAAGGAGAGGACAGCGAAGGGTGTTGGCCTGGGCTCTTGAGCAGGCTTCTGGGGTCCCTGCCGGGAGAAGGCATGGCCAGCGGGGGCCACATTACTAGACTGTGGGTAGAAAGAGGGGAAAGCAGGCTTGAGGATTGGAAAGAGCACGGGGAGCCAGCAGCATGACCAGAGGCTGGCGGGAGACCCCGATTCCCATGGGGGGTGCGGAACACGGAGAGCTCTGAGCATGGATGGCCGAGCCCCTGGGCCTCCCCAGAAGCACCGAGGGATCTGGGCTGCAAGTTCAACGTCCACCTTTGTTCACGTTTCCAAGTGGACATGGAAGGCTGCCCCGAGAAGCCCCAATGACTCCACATCACTCTGCTTCTGTGGGGGACCACGGGAAGAAGCAGGCCACGACCAGAGACCACGGGACTGCGGTGGCCACCTGGGCATGGACAGGAGGGCCGTAGTGGAGATGGAGGGTGTGGTCTCAGAGAATTGGAGGTGGCCTGCTGGACAGGGATTTGTTAAACAGGCACCTTTGATTTTGTCACTCTCTTGCTCAAGTGCCTTCGGTGACTCCCTAGTACTAGGGCAGGGCCTGTTTCCTGCCTTGGCCACCTGGTCAGCCCCTCAGCTTCCCAGTGGTACCCGGCACTCTTTTCCCCTTGCCATCCCCAGGCATCATGGCTTTCTGTTTGTTCTCAGGATGCACCCTGCTCCTTCCCTCCACAGGACCTTTCCACATACTTTTCTATTCCTCTCTCCCAAATCATTGTCATCCCTCTCTAAGCACCAACCCCTCCCTCACTGCCTTACCTCTTTCTGAAGTCACTTAGCGTTCCCCCTGCTACCTGGTGCTCACTAACTCTAATTAAAATGAAATTTGAATCAGACCTTCCTGTCAAGAAATGGACTTAGTAAACTCTGGATTACTCACTATGCCCAATGATGTGCAAGCCCTGGTGGTCCTTCCAGTTCCCCAGAGCTCAGTGTTGTTAGCTTGCTAGGCTGGCCGAGTGGGGCATGGACATTGGCTTGAGGACATAGTCAGGGACTGTGTGGCACCCACGGGACCTTGTCTCATCGTCATGGCCCCAGCCACTGGAGGGAGATGTTCAGATGACACCAAGGCTCAGAGAGGTGAAGCACAGTGTCCTTGGTCACCCAGTTGGCATGCAGTGGGGCAGGGTCTGTCCTTGGTCTGAAGGCCAAGTCTTCACTGTGCACAGGCTGCTGCCGCTCACTCTGCCTCCAGCCTGATGCCCTTCTGTCAAGGTGGGCTGCTCCTAAGGAGGAACTCAGGAAGTCGGGAGGAGAGATCTAGTGGTGCCCCCTTCCTGGGGTCAGCCCAACTGGGCCTGGAAGGGCCTGGGTCCTTCCTCCCCCAGCCCATCAGTCTTGTCCTCTCTTGAGCTGGTCAGAAGGGGCTGCCTCATGGTGGGATCCTCGGCGGCCCCTCAGAATCCACCCGTAACTCCAGAAATCCACTGGAAAAGCAAGAAGAATCAGAGTTTTACCTGTTCCCATGGTTTCCGTTTCCCAGAAGGCATTGTTGAGATGCAGTGAGGTCAAGGTCAACTCCAGCCCAGCTCAACTCTGGGTCATGGCCTAAGACCCTTTGCAGTGGCCCAGCAGACCTGGGCGGCCCACCTTTGCTTGACGCTCGTCAGAGCAGGCAGGGCCAGGAAGGAGCTCACTGGCACATGTGTCTGGAGACAGCCCTGAGGACCCCGTGCCCCTAGACTGCAGTCCCTGGACCTCTTCCTTTAACCCTGGGACTGGGCTGCCACCTCTCCCTCTGGGTTCATGTTCTGGGTCCCCAGCTTGGGTGCCAGCCTCTGCTGCTCACTGAGCTCCACCCAGAGCCTGATGGCTCTGCGTCTTGGTTCCCCGGCCCCCACGAAGCTCTGCAAGGGGCTGAGAGGCAGCCTCACCCCTGCCCAGGAGCGCGGCTGGCTGTGGGGTCAGCCTGAGTGGTTCCCACACCCTGCAGGGATAGTGCTGCCCCCAACCCTAACCTGAGAAGTCTCTATCTCCAGAGCTCCTTGGGAATGGGATGTGGGTCTGGGTGAGAGCACTTGCCTAGCATGGGGGGAGGCCCTTGGTTCCATCCCAGCCCTGGAGAGGGGATGAATGAATGAATTAAATAAGATTCCAAAGGAGAGGCCACGGTAGAAAAGAATAACTTAGCTATGTAGGAGTGAGAAATTCCATGAGAAAAAAAAAATTCTCAAAACATAAACATGAAAGCAGCAAAAATAATTTTTAACCCAAATGCCAAAGTCCTACACACACACACACACACACACTCACACACACACACACATTTATCTGGTAGGAAAATAGGAAAGGATGTGATCTGGCAGTTTGCAGATATAAAAAGAATCAAAACATGGAAAAATGCTCGATCTCTTTGTGATTGGAGAAATCTAAAGGGAGTGAAACTGGGGCACCCAGGTCCTGTCGGTAGGGATCAAGTGCCTCAAAGCATGTTGGGAGCGGCTCCTTCCCTTCCTTCTGCTGGGGCTGCGGGTGGCTGTTCAGACAGTAGTTAGGGGAACTTCACCAAACCTGGAGCCTCCCACTGGTTCTCCTGGCAGTTTCCTGGGTAGGCGTTGATTTGCCTAGAAGAAACATGCCCACGGATATTCAAAGCAGCATGTTTGCCATAAAGTGGAAAGAATTTAAACGTTCATTCCTCCACGACATTAAGTAAATGAGGACCCAGCCGTGCAGCCGAACGGGGAATGAAGCTCAGAGCAGGAGGGGAGCCCTGCCGTACATAAGAGATGCTTGTTCAACAGGAATACCTGGAGGCTCTCAAGTGTCTGTGGGACACTAAGGATCAAGAGGGACTCACTCAGAGGACCAAGTCCTGGAAATTGACAGGCTCAGAGGAGACCGGGCAACCCCATTGTGGGTATATGTCCAAAGAAAGTCCAACTGGTCCATCCAAGAGACCTCTGCACGCACGCTCACTGCAGTGAGCTCCCTGCAATTCACATATGGATCCATCCACTCACAGAAGGTTGAAGAAAATGGCACAGAGACATTCGGAATAGGAAATAGAGCAAGGAAACTCACCTCTGGATTTGCTGATACCCTGTGTCTGAGATCAGCTTGAATAGTATTCAGCCACACACCTTGCCATTTGAGACAATGTGGATGGAACTGGAGGTGGTTGTGTTGATTAAGCCAAGCTCAGAGGCCAGGTCTGCAGGAGCTCCCTCACTGGTGGAATCTAGAAGCGCTGAGCTCGGGGTTGGGGTGCAGCTCTTGCTTATGGCACATGGTGCCAGGTCGATCCCAGCACTGCAAAAGCAAAAACAAAAAAACGTCCATCTAGTAGAAGTTGAGAGTGGAATGGTGGTTCCCGGAGGCTAGGACGGCAGTGGGAGTGGGGGCAGGTGAATGTGTCCCTGGTGCAGTTAGGAAGGGTTAAGAACCTCGGTGTGCTGTTGCATAGTAGGGTGACAGTACACTTTGAAAAGCTAGAAGAAAGAATATAAGATGCTTTCACTGGAGAAATGATAACATGATTAAGGAGACAGATGGGTTTAATGTGGTTTAGACGTTACATAATGTAAACATATATTGAAACATCACATGGTGTAATTAGGCACAATTTTGTATGTTACCCTTAAGAATAACCCAAATGATCCCCATAGCCGTTGTCGTAGGTATTGGGCAGTGCTGTGAAGGAAACGGGAGGTGAAGGGGGTGTGAGTGTTTCCAACCTCTCTGATGAGGGAACTTGGGGGCAGGGACCGGAGTGAAGCGTGGGGCTGAGCCACAGTGCACATCTCTGGCAGAGTTCGCCAAGGCCCGCAGCTGCATTGGCTCAGCCCTTTGAAGACACAGCAAGAGGCTCCCGTAGCTGGAAGGCTGGAGTGCTGGGGTGGTGGAAGGAGCCGATAGCCTGGGTGGAAGAGATGCTGGGAGCCTCTTTTCTAGGAGGTTGGATAGGAAACTTTCAATACTTCACCTTCAGTGAGATTCCAGTGAGGGGAGGAGTAATCTGTTTCTCACTTTGTACTTTATTTACATTTTCTTGCTACATAAATCATTACTCCAACTTACACCAGTACAGTATCAAAGGTGTTATCTGGGTGGAGTGATCATAGGCTAATTGGGCTTGCATACTTAAAAAGTTCTGACGCATTAAACAAACAAATATGACTGTTTTCTTGTGGGACTCCTCAGCATGGCTGGTTGGGCACCCCTGAGTCCAGTGGTCTTGACCAGAGCTCCCAGGTTCATGAGCTGGGCTGAGCTGTGGCAGGGAACACCCTTCTCTTTCCCTGACAGAAAACCTCTGGGGAAGTCAGTGGGAGGCAATGTAACAAATCCAGGGATGACCTTGAACCTATTCAGTGGCTTTGGGAATTTAGCACTAGTCTGAGCGACCCAGGGCTCACTCCATTACCCAGAGTGGACTGCGTGGCCCCGGCTTCCCCGCTTGACCCCCCTGAAGCCTGCTGTCACGAGTGCTGGGCCTGGTCTTGGAGGTCAGAAGCCTGGTCCATCAGTCTGTCTTAAAGCTGCAGCTAGCCTGGCAGGTGCAATCTTGAGGTAAGACCAGTGCCAGCAAATCCAGAGGTGAGTTTCTTGCTCTATTTCCTAATTTTCCAGCATCTTCCACAACAGAGCCAAGGAGAACTTTCATCCTGTGTCTGAGATCAGCTCTGAGCTAAGTGATAAGAATCCTCTGCTGAGTAAGCTCTGACCCCCAAAACTCTTGGAATTTAGGCTCTTGAACCACTTAGAGAAGTAAGCTGGAGACTGTGGCCATTTTCAGGGTCCTGCAACCAGATGATGCACTTGGGAATCTGTGGGCATTACAGGTCTTTTGCAAGGGAGGATCTCCAAGCACCCTGTAAATATTAATTAAAAGACGCACCTCCTGAGGGGCTGGTGTAATGATTCCCATCCACGGGAAGAGGAAACAGGGGCATCTCTAGGCTTGCTGAGGAGGCCCAGAGAGCTGCAGCTGGGCTGGTGGGCAGCAGTGCCAGCTGCCGTCTCCCCAGGGCCGAGGCAGGCCAGACAGGCACTGAGCCTTCAACCGCCTTGTCACATTTCACAGATGGTGTGCCTGAGACCCCGAGTTCCCTTCTGGACACAGAGTGACAGAGCAGGGTATCCAACTCAGGTGTTAGGGAGTCCAAGCCCTGTGGTATTTCTCTGGTTCCTGCGCTTCCCCCCAATAATGATTCTCAACAGCTGCACACCACGTTATAGTTTACACAGCGTTCAGACATGCATTATCCTATTCATTCCACACAATAACTCAGTAAGGCAGGAAGTGTAGACGTAATTAGCTCCATTTTATAGATGAGGAAGTGGAGGCTCAGGGAGGGGCCTGAGGAAGGTCACGAGGTTCTTGTTAAACAGCAAGAAGTCATATCTGCATGGTCTCTGCAGCATACAAGACGCTGCTGGTCCTGGGTGCTACCATTAGCTCCAGGATGTAAGCAGTTCTGGTGCTATTATTATTATTATTATTATTATTATATAACATTTCCATATTACAAATGAGTACGATCCAGAGAAGAAAGACAACCAGAAGGCTGGGGCCATAGCTCAGTGGTGGAGTTCTTGTGAACAGGCATGGGGCCCTGGGTTCACCCCAGTCCCGCAAAAAAAAAAAAAAAAAAAGAAAATGAAGATGGGAAATGAGCATGGACAGATCAGCCCTGTAGCCAGATACGTCGCTGTACCATCTCCCTGACCATGGAGGTTATTTTGGCACCATGATTAAAGGAGACCCTACACAGTCACGGGCCACAGCAGCGTGTCCATCGAGGATGTTCGGTGTGCAGAGGAATGGTGGTCCCGCACGCCGCCCCGCCTCAGGATGTCCTAGCTCTCCCAGTTGGCACAGGTACCCTCCATGATGTTCACACAAGGCCAAGACTGCCTGGCCACGTGTTTCCCATAATGCATCCCTGTCATTAGCAATAATGACGGACACGATACCAGATGAGGGCTAGATGCAAAGAAGAAACACTGTGCAGGCTAAGGCCCAGGGTGTCTCCACGGCGAGCAGAAACCTAAGCACACTGACCGGAGCGGGGCTCGGTTGTTCATGGGTGAGGTCCTGGGACGGGAGCCAGGGCCACCTGCAGCAGGCAAGTGCTCTGCCCCTCCGCGGCATCCCCAGTCCTTAATTTGGGTCTTGAAGACTGAATGAGAAGGGGGAAGAAGAGAGAAATACAAGCACAATAAAACCCCAGTTGAGAGCAGCTACTACTCTATCTTGAAGGTATAAAATGAGCCCAGAATTTTTAAAAAATTGCTTCACTGAATCCTTACAACCAAGGGAAACAGCTGCTGGGGAGATGGAGGCTGAAAGGTCAGTGGTCAGTTCGCATCTTGATGCTCTAAGTTGCAGGTGTAGGACTTGAACCTGCCCTGGCCTGACCCGGAGCCTCTTCTCTAACCGTCCCAGGTCTTCCATGCAGAGGCTTGTGT